GTCATCTTCAATTCTTCTTATCATTAAAATGAAAGGCAAGCTTTTCTTCATCTTATGTGACTCCATCCTTTTTTTTTTTTTAACAGCAAAGAAAATTCAATTAAAAGATCGAGTATAAGGGGTATTTAAACCCATTTACATATACAAAAATACAATAATACAAGCCCATCAATGTTAATCGCATCTTTCAGACCCTTCCTGCTTATCAATGAAGTAGGACAAATAACCAAACTGAAAGATTGAATAACACTTGGCTTTCTTGCCTTAATCCATGCAAAAATCATAAATGAAAGGTTTCAACCAGTTTAATCACATGTTAAAGTAATGTTATTTATCACCATTAATAGGTTCAGCACTTATCTTCTTCCCGAGCAAAGGGGTCTCACCTCCTTTTTTTTTTTTTTTTTGATCAACAAAATCAAATAGCACTTTTATTCTCAGAGTATAAGGAATACTCCACCACAAAATATAAACATTTAAACCACAACTAGACTGAAAAGAAAATTCGAAAGTGCTAACAATAGTTGGCCATAAATTAAATACATTCAAAAACTGTGCCAAAAGTACTCAAATAAAACCCACAAGTAGATCAGAGCATGTTGCATTGCATCTTCTTGTCATTCTTCAAATTTTGACGATGTTGAACTATGGCTTCCTTGCACTCCATAGGCCTTGATATCCAATCTGTATAAGAAAACACACATCCTAGCTCTTTGTTTTAATCCATAAAAAAGACTTAGCCTAAATAGATTCCAATAACTACACTTCAAATAGCAAAACTGACCCAAACACTTTCGTATTCCTCTAGTACCACATAAACCAAGCACTTACCAAAAAAATAAGGGCTCCCAGCTCCAATCGTCCCCCACTTATTCCATACACCACTGACTCCACCAAACCAAATATATCATTTGGCAAAACATAGTGCAAACCCCACCATCCCAAAATCTTCATCCATACTAACCATACCCCTTCACACTCAGAAAAGATATGATGAAGCCTCTCCACGCTCTCTTGACAAAACCCACAACTAACATCCCCCCCTGTCAATAGAATCCCTCTCTTACATAAATTCTCCTTAGTGGCCAACCTATCCAAAAATAATCTCCACCCAAAAACACTCAACTTAGAAGGTACATATTTACTCCAAATAATCCTAGAACATTTCTCATCAAGAACACAAACTTTTGGTGATAAAAAATCATAAGCCGCCTTTATCGAATAGATACCATCTTTACCATGAATCCATCTCCAAGAATCTACTTCCTCCATCCTCAATGTTACCCCATTAATCATTTCCCTTAATTGTTCTTCCTCACCAATAGCCCTCCCTGCACACCCACGTCGCCATCTACAATCCCATACCCAAGTATCACCCCTCCAATCCACATATCTTCCATCACCAACTTTCCATTTAAAACCCTTTACTAACATCTGCACTAACCTTTCAGATCCCCTACCCACACTCACAATCTCCTTCCACACACTAGACATATTCAAAGATTCAAAGGAAGTTATGTTAGCCTCCTTCCTTGCCCCATAACATTTCTCCCAAATCACCCTCTTCCATAAACCATCCAAACCATCACCTAATCTAAACCACCATTTACCCAACAAAGCAAAATTTCTCCTCTCTAAACCAACTACTCCTAATCCCCCTCTTCCCTTATCCACACACATACAATCCCAATTAACCCAAGAAATCTTCTTTTCTAACTTCACACCCCAAAAAAAAAAAAATTCCTTAGAATTTTTATCAATTTAACAAGCACACATTTAGGAATTTTAAATAAAGACAAATAAAAAATAAGAAGAGCGGAAAGTATCGAGTTGATTAAGGTAATCTGGCCTCCAAAGGACAGTAGTGGGCTTTTCCAAGTGGCAAGTT